AGGTGTTCCCCGACGAAAACAAGTCCCGTACTTAAGCAATAGTCAATAGTCTTTTCTGAGGTTGTCTTGAACAAGGAGTGTTGGAGCCTCTGGGTTTAGGGTGTAGGCTTTAGCAGCTCCTGCAATCTTCAAAGCTTCGGCCAGAGTCGGGTCACAGCCGGCCGTTAAAAGGGCTGCTTCGAGGGGTCCTGGAAAGGATGGTATAGGGTTTAAGGTTCAGGGTTTCGTGGGTTTCGGGTTTAGGGTTCAAGAAACCGAGGCAGGGCCAGGAGGCCGGACCTCCCGGCTCTGCGTCCAGATGACACTCCATCCCGATGTGACGGGACCAATTCGAGTCTTCGATCTCTTCGACAGGACGACCTTACCGCCTCTGCAGTCGGAAATCGCTGCAGCTCCCGCAAATATTTGGGGAATTTCAGATGGTCATGAAAGCTTTCTGGTCTCTCGTCCGGCAAGGTTTTAGCCGAGATTTGAACCCACCTCCTGCGGCCTTAATCGACATCGTGAGTAGCGGTTAGATTCGAGACGGCAGGACTCAGTACGACGTCGCACCAGTGGGTAGTGCCTCCACTCGCGTCGGAACCTCATCTTTGACATCAGCTCACCTTACGAAACCTGAGCCGTAAATGCTGATGTCCAGCCAAAACACCCTGTGCCCGAAATTTCGGCAGTTCCTTCCTCGTCGAGAGATCTGTTGTTCAGGGCTATTTCGGCGAGGTCACCTGAAATCTTATCACCGAAACCGATGCAAGTGCTCTTTCGTCAAGCAGCTGCCCACTAGACGTCCTCATGTTCCAAACATGTGCGGATCCCGTCTACGAAATCTCGAGAAGTATCGCTTCTCGGAGAGGATTCAGGTTGTGGGATCAGGAGGGATTTGACACAACCTTGAAAGCCTCAAACGCTGTTTTGGCGACGTGGCGTGAGTCGACAGGGCGCACTCCTGAGTTAGAAAGGTGCAAGCCCACCGGGTAGCGCCTCCAGTGGCGCCATTACAGCATCTTTGTCATCAGCTCAGTTCACGAACCCAGCGCCGTTAATGTTGACTTCCTGCAAAATATTCCAGCCTCCGAAACGTAGGAGATTACTTCATCGTTGCCTCCACGGTATTGGTACACCTCGGCCTCAGCTTTCTGGGAACCACCTACGGTGTAGTGCCTCTTTGCCGAGGTGGCATCAGCCTGAAAGACGCGCTCCTGAGCTCTTATCACCAAAACGGATGCAAATGCTCTTTCGTCACGCAACTGCTTGCCAGGTTTGCGTACCTGATGGTCCAAGCATACTTGAAGCCCATGTAGGCAGTCCCGATTTTCTTGTCCCGTATAGGCTTCCTTCAACTAAAGGGAGGTACAGCTCCGTTGTTGTGAGGCTTGGGGGGAACGTGCACCGACATTTGTGCACAGTCTCGATAAGTATCGGTTCTCGGAGAGGGTTCTTGCACCTTCCGAGGACCCTGCAGCTTGCCGATGCAGGTTGACGGGAAGATGCTAGGGCCGCTGGGATGTAGGCTTTGGCAGCGCCGCAATGCTCAAAGCAATATCATGGTCATGGCTTCCATAGGACTATAGGGTCTGCGCGTAGGGTTCAAAAGGCTACGAAGGCCAGGAGGTAGGACCCACCAGCTCCGACTCCAGCCGCCGTGACTGCTCGACTCAATTCGCGTCATCGACCTGGTTCATCGTATCGCCGCCATTATAGGGAGTATTATGAAGGAGACCCCTTAAAGGGTATCCCCAAGGGTCCCCCTAATCCTAACTCCCACATTCTGAAAGACTTCAGGGTCTGGAGGGTTTTCGGCTACAGGAGGTATACTCGGAGTGCCACCACGGAGGCTTTTCAGTGCGTTGACGCTGCGCAGGTCTCCGTACTACGTACGGGAAGGTGCTGTGGAGAGGGCACGGAGCAACGCCCAGCAAGGCAGACAACAACACCGGTTTCACGTCGTTCTGATGGAAAGACTCGGCTCGAGTTCTTTGCAGTTTTTGGATAGTGTCGCCAAGCCGAAATCGCCAAGCATGGTACTGGGAAAGCACTCCGAGAAGGTCTCTGGGCCTGGGCTAGGAAGAGTCCTAGAAGGCTGAGTCTCTGAGTGCCCTGCGACCGCCCTCCGAAGAAAATCAGGTCCTCGACTCGGCAATCCGAAGGCAGCTGAGATCCTCTCAAGCTCTGGGCGATTCTTTCGGCTCTGAAGCTGCTCTCCTCTTGGCTTCGGAGCACCCGGACAGGATGCGCGAAGTTCAAGGATGCGAGCAGAAGAGCCAGCCAAAACCAAGCAGCGCTCTTCAGCACAACTTGCAATATTGCCCAAAGCTGTAGCGCCCAACGCAAGCAAAGGGGTAGAGCTGGGCCAGGCGGTGGTCAGACATCGAAATAAGACAGGATTGACCTCAAGGTTTCTTGTCCGGTTTTTTCACAGAAGCAGATCTGCCAGCGAATGTTACAGCTGTACTACGGTATAGCCGTCGCCACAAAAGGAGCCAACGACCCGATCAAGCTCATAGCGTCCGGCTGCGGGCTAGCACGCGAAGCTCATCGTGCCTGCTCCGCAGTCGCTTGTGCCGACCGCATTGCCGCTCACTACACCCTCACATGGCATGCGGTCAGCAGCAGTGAAGCAGAACGCAAAGGCCGGGGTGGAAGCGCCTCTGATCACGAAGTCCTGTGAACAGTCTTGATTTCGGTGCCCGGCCAAGGGGCTGTGCCTGCACAGCCTAAACCCGCTGCCCACGGCGAATCTACGGTGATTCGCCCGCAGCCCAGGACCATCTGGAGTGAGGCATCTTCTGTCTCGACGTCGGCCAAGGTACACTTTGCAGATCACAGACAAAGGCTTTCACCACACAGATCCTGCGAAGCAGCTGACGTCGGGGGGCACGAGCTTCGCGGGATTTTTCTTGGGTAGCTTCGGGAGGCACGTGCATTGTGGGATGTTTGCTTGGATCCGATTCCTGACCACTGAGCAGCATGATGGGCCGGTGAGCATGAGTGCATGGCTGGAGTCGGCTGGAGTCCTAACGAGATCAAGGCAGACCCTGCGGCTTCCTGCACCTGATTGTGCCCGCTGACCGGAGACATGCGGCCGTTGATGCCGTATCTGTATCTTCCAATGCAGGTGCCGGGCCATCTTGAAATTATCTACGATGGTAGCTCGCGACTTCATGGGATTGTGCTAAAATCGCCGGCAAATGCTAGAGAGGGAGACTCCAGCCACCTCCCAACTGATGTGCCCTGTGTCCGTGCGTTTGGGTCAAGCGTGCTCATACTGCACATATTTGATAAGGATCCTACTAATTATTTAGGGTACTCTCTCAGGGTCCCTTGTTTTCGGAAATCCCCATTTGATGGGCGGCTGTTGCCCAACGCGCGAGAAAGAGCTCGCGAAGGGCGACTCAGTACTAGCAACCGAGCACATCGCTACATCATCAGCCAGACCATCCTCTCGTGTCCGGATGGGTTCAGTCAACGGTCAACATGTATGGGTTTTGCCCAAGACAGCAGATCTACCCCAATCTTGTATCACAGGATCGGTGGTAGTATTGAGGATGATTCTCTGCACGGCAAGGGCTGTGGGGGTCTTTGGGTTGAGCACTGTTGCAGTTAACTCAAGGTTGGAAGACACATTCTTCTGCAAGCTGCTGATGCTGCTGATTCAGTGCTGATCGCTTTGACCTTTGTGGCCACTGGGTGTCAACTTGCAAGGCTTGATCTATCGTTAATGCCGTTGATCCTCCCGACCTCGTTTCAGATGGGGTGCAGCCCCTGCTTACAGAGGCGGGCGCGATAGCAGCATCGCAGCGGCGTAGGCAACCAGGCGCCGTGCTCGAGGGAAGTCGCCCAAGTCGGGGCGGCTGCTCCGAAAACGAAGATTACGCCGGTGCGAAAAGCCTGGCAACACCAAGTCCATGGCTGTCTGCATATACCGAGCTCCTGCACGGCCAGAGAGGGGCAGCCCGATACCAGCTGCACTTCCAGCCCCGAACTGCACGAAGCCTGGAGCGTTCCGTGCAGCGGCAGAGCGGCTGTCGAAGGTGAGTCGGTGGCCTCGTTTAAGGACATCCCTGGCATCGATGCTGAGGCCATGAGGGATTTGCAGTGTCAGGTTCAGCTAGGCTGCAGAGGTAGTTTCGCATGCGCATCTCTCAAACCTCCAATCTCAAGAAAAGTACCGGTTTTGCTGTGACTGGGACGATCGAGCCTTTTCCCGTCGGAAAGTCGAACACTCTCTTCATGATCGATTGTGGTTGCTGTGGGTCGAGCTCTGGAGGCGTGCTTGCAAGAATCTGGGAGCGGAAGCTGATAGACACTTGGCACTGCGAGTTGTGCAGGAATGCCATGTGTTCCCCAGAGGCTCAACCTTGAGGAATCTTCCTTAAACTATAGTAGGGCCAAATAGTGGGGATCCCTACCACAAGACCCTTAATCAAGGAATGTTGGATCCCATGCGTCTGTGGCATTTCAGGCAGGGTGCCTAAACGACTCCTCTGAACTTAGCTTTATGAGGGACTCTGAGCTTCGACTACACAGACCCTGAACCACTGCAAAGCGCCAAAACCCCAAAGGCCCTAAACCTAAACCCTTGTGGATGCCTCACAGGAGCCCTGAAAGGAGCCGTTACAGGAGCCGGGGCTTTCCAAACCCTGCAGAAGCCTCAAGAATGGAATGAAAGGTCCCCCGGCCGCCGGGTTCGCTTCAAAGTTAGAGCTTCTTGTGAAGTCTCCCGTCAGGTTTAGGCTTGGGGGTTTAGGGCTTGCTGACTTCTGGAACTAGGGTTTACAGAGTTTGGAGTTTGGGTCTAGAGACCCGCAGTGTTCCGCTCCGCCGCAGGAACGGTTTGGGCAGAAGTAGGGCCTGAGGTTCAACTGCTCAGTCCGTCTGGCAAACTGAAGGGTATCGGCTTTTGTGCTTGCGACAGTTCTCGGTTGCTCAGTAGCGAATAAGGACATCCCGTGTGCTTGGTTGTGTCCGCCATCATACCTGCGCTTGTCAGCTGTTACGCCTGCATGGAGTCTTGCGTCGAAGAGGACTGCCTTCCAGAGCCTCGTTTGACAAAGCAGTTGGAGGAAATCGAAAGCAGCGTCTTTGCACTTCGACGCTACCATCCTGGTGGTGCCAGGCTCAGCCATTTCGAAAGAGAGGGCAGGATTGACCTTGGAATGATTTCCGTGACCGGTTCCAGGAGGCAGAAACAGATCTCTCCGCGAGTGCTGCAGCTGTACTCGTACATCCAACGCATGCGCAATCAGTTCCTCATTCCGGCAGGCAGCACCAGACTGAGCCAACAACCTGATCAAGCTGTTGTCCTCGTGCCGGGCTTCGGGCCAGCAAGCGAAATTCACTGTGGATTCACTGCACATTCCTGCACCGCCACCGCTCACTACGATTTTGCGGGGCATCTGGCCAGCAGCACTGCATCGCAATAGAGAAGTTGGCAAACGGCCGAGCGGAACCGCCTCTCAACAGGACGACGCGGACGACGTGTAACAGTTTAGCTTTGGAAGCCTGGTGCCAAGGCTGGGGTTGGGGTTGCGTCTCCTGCCTTCTACGAGCCTACACAGCCTAGACGGCCTAAGCCGACTGCACCGGTGATTCGCCTGCAGCTAGTCGCGATATTTGCTATCTGGAATGAAGCATCTTTTGTCTTGACGTCCGCCCCGGGCCTTTGCAAATCGCACACAAAAGCTTTCACCACACAGATGCTGCAGCTGCCGCATGACCTGCCGGATCTGAAGCCAGTTGCTTCGGGAGGCGCGTGCATTGTGGGAAGTTTGCTTGGATCCGATTCCTGACCGCTGAGCAGCATGATGGGCCTGTGAGCACGAGTGCATGGCTGGAGTCGACTGGAGTCTTTTACAGAGATCAGAGCAGACCCGACGGCCTACGGCTTCCTGCACCCTGCTTCATGATGGCAGCTCAACCTGGGCACTGCCCGAAGACGTGTGGCCATTATGCCTTGCCTGCCAACGCGCGAGTACGGGGCCCTCTTGAAACTGTCTACGCAGGCAGCTGGCGACTTCATGGGATGCGGATAAAGACTTCTCCGGCACATGCTTGGGAAGGAAGCTCCAGCCAACTTCCAGCTGATGTGCCTTTTGCTCGTTCACTTGGGTGAAGCTCATGCCTGCACATGCTTGACGGACTGTTGCTCAACCCATCCCGCCTCGTCAGCTAGGGAGGATTGGATGCTGCTTTGCACGGCAAGGGCTGTGATGGTCTTGGTTTGAGCACTGTTGCAGCTGATGCAAGGTTGGAAGACATGCTCTTCTGCAGGCTGCTGATTAGGTTGGTGGCCTTTGCAGCCACTGCGTATCAACTTGAAAGGATTGATCGCCCCTCAATGTCCAGGTCTCCGGCCAGAAATTGGTAGCATGCATCGGGTTGTGTTTCACCCCGGCCCCTGCAGAAAGTCACCAAGCGCAGCAAGCCTGATTGCTCATTTGTCCGTTTCAGCCACAACTCGAGCGCGACAGCAGCCCATGAAGCGGTGCAGGTTACCGTAGGCCATGATCTGTGGAAGGTCAGTTTTCCTTTGACCATCATCCACAGCAGTGGTAGCATCAAGGCGTCCGGTTTACAGACGAAGTTTCTGGCCGTACGAAATGCCCGGACGCACCTGGCACATGTATCGCACCAGACAGGTGCAGGGCCGATTTACATACATCTGGCTGCGTCAGGTGATGCGTCCCGTGCTCAGCTCTGAGCAAGATAGAAGGCGCGGTCCACGATCATAGCTGGACGCCAGCGCCGCTTCGCACAGCCCTCAACTTCAGGAAGCTCCATCGCAGCGTCGCAACCCCGCGTGAGAGGCTTGTGGCAACTCTGTGTGTGCCGGCGCAATCGCTTCCAAAGCTGAGTTCTTGCCGGGCTCGTCCCAAGGAATTCCCTGCCACGAGGCACGTAGTATATTGTAGTGGAAACCCTTATTCAGCAGAGGTAATCTCAGCGAGGATACCTGTCTTTCTATGTGTCGACAGGAAAGAACTCGTCGCCTGGGCTTTGCCCAAGCCTCATGACTGTTGCTCGGCTCGAGCTGCCCTCCGCACTTGGATTCTCGACTGTGGCTGCTGTGAGTCGAGGTCTGAAGCGGTGCTTGCTAAAGATCTGGGAGTTGAAAATTCTGGTAGGCATGGCCAAGCTTGAGGACCGGCGTGGTGAAGAAGCTCCGAATCCAGCAGAGAGTCTCGGTGCAACTCGCGATCTGGCTAATACCCGAGTGTTGCACGGAAAGCAGATGGAGCAAAGACACAAGTGTAGTAGTGCGACTTCATCGCGCTGAAACGAAAGTATCGGGCTGAAGCTCATCAACGACCCCCCTTATACCTCTTCAAAGCTTTAGGTGGCAAGCCTCTGTCATTCTATGTACGGTTCTACGAGAAGCGTCCGAGAGGGATCGCGAAACTCACTTCCTGTGCGTGTTCTCCGCGAGCGCATCGGCTGGCCTCCAGTGTTCGTTTCTCTTCTCCACGCCGCACATCCAAAATTCTTTGTTGGAATTGGCATGGAAACAATCCTGCTGATTCAATGAACCGAGTCTGCGGATGCTCCATACCTTCCCATGAATCAACATGTCGCTCAGCAGTTAAGATGTCTGTGCATCGACAAGCAACACCATCGTGTAACGCTGAGACTGGGCTGAGGCAGCGGTTGGTGGAATCACTTCGATCCTTCCAACACCGTTCCCTCCGAAGGTTCTTAGCCGAAAGTCGGAGAAGCACCAAGATGCACATGTCAACTCCAATTGGGATTTGCCGGAGTCCGAGATTGGGATCAAGACCCTGTGAAGGAAGGATTGCCTCGTGTTCTGTTTCTGTTGCGAGATCCTAACCTGAAAACGGCAAAGGTCCTGCCAAGGCTACCTGCGAGAACTGCGCATCTTCACAGTCCAGCGAGCCGTCGTAGGTTGAAAAGAACATCCATCAGTAAGCTCCTGGTGCGCCGTTTTAGAAGCGCTTTTCCCTACCGTGCGCCGTGAGCCACAATGAGCTCTACGTGAACGCCATCGAAGAGCCTGGCTTCCGCTCTTCCGACTCTGAGCGGGGAGCCAGTCTCTGGAAGGCCGAAGGCCAGGGTTTAGGGTTTAGGGCCTTAGGCCTTAGGGCTTAGCAGGTTGTTGTCGAAGGCATAGTCGAAGTGTCTAGGGTTTCTGTCTGTCTTCGATTGCACTCTGCAAAGACGAAGGTTTCGAGAAGGTGAGCTTCCGGCAAGGCGCTGGTGTGGGCATCTTGGGCAGTCCAAGGTGCTTCAGTGCTTGGGGGAAGGAGTAGCAAAAGGACCGCCATAGTGGGCGCGGGCGGGGGGGCAGCGATACTGTGGAGCGGGACACATCAAGGACCGCATGGCCTCGAGTTCCCTCGTCCGTCTGCTGGATCCGACCGAAGCCACATTTTGGCCCGCTTAGAGTCCGCCCTCTCTGAATCTCTACCCCCTCGGATAGGCTTGGAGAGGCCGTTTCCTGCCAATTCAATTGAGCAGATGTCGCGGCCCTCGGTGGCAGAAGCGGGATATTCCACAGGCAAGTGTCCATGAGCATTTCCCTGAAGAGCGTGCCGTGCTCAGCATTGGATCGCCTTGCGGTGACCAGGAGCCTTCAGCTGACCTGTCCCGGCCGAATGCGGTTGCCATGGAACAGCGATGGGGAGCTCCTTTTGACAGTCCGTCTTCGATGCCGACATCAGCACCAACTGCAAACACAGGGGCCTAAGCAAAGTGTCCTGCAAGCAGAGAGACAGACAGTTAAATGGGATGTTCGCCTGCTACGCAACACCTGTACCCCTTGAAGTTTGTCTTGTGTCACGGTAGGGACGAGGGCAGTGCTGTGGTTAAAGTGGAGGAGCTGGCCGCAGCCTAGTCACCTAGTCGGACGTCGGTCCGTTTTAAGCGGCTGCTTCTTGAAGGCTCCTGATCATCCGGAGCCCTGACTTCCGTGTAGCTTGTAGCGACGATTCCTCCCTCCACTTTGGCAGGGCTCCACTCTGGCAGACACCGTCTCCGTGGAGATCGATCCGTCATGTTCGGTCAAGACTGGGAGTGGGACGTGATGCTTGTATTTGGGCTGCAGATGCTCCTGGCTCTGAGTGCGTGTTGTACCGACATCAGCGGCCACCTGTGCTGGTCAAGGGTTGTAGCCTCGCAGCCCGTCGTCGAAGTCTTGGGGTTCTGCTCCGAATTTTCGTTTCAGACGACCTGGCAAAGCCGTTCTGCCTGGGACGAGCTTGCTCGACTGCTGGCTTGGGAAAATGCTCCGCAGAGGTCTTCTTCGGTCTTCAGGGTCCATGCATGAAACGAGATGACAGGCCTGAAGCGAAATTGAGGGGGCTGATGCCTGGAAGCCGAGTGCATTGCGAGCCACGTACACCCGAGCGGCCGTTCTCATCGCTTGTTGTTCAACGTGTTTCAGCTTTGCTGGTGCCCTTAGCCCTCCCGAAGCTTGAATTGACTTTCGAAACCCTCGACCCCACGGTTTCAAGAAATCTGGAGCTCCATGCGTCCACAAAATCGTGCCGACGAGCTCTCTGCAGGTTATCTTGTCGCAGAGATGCCGATATTGCAGATGAGAACGTTTCGACGTTGTGCATCACCACTTCTAAGTGAAACACTTTGGCACGTCTGAGTATAGCTTACCAGAATTCTGCAGATTGGCAAGAATGAGAGTCAATGGGAGACACCTGAGACTCTAAATGAGAAAGCAAGGTCAAAATATGGAAGGTCGAGCATGAGGTTCAGTGGAAGAAAAAACTGCAACAGGAAGAGCATGGAAATTTGAATCAGAAGAAGAAAGCGAGACCAACGTTCGAGAAAGATCAAAATCGAAGAGAAATGGGTGTGCAGTTGGAAACCAAACAGCCTCCAAATCGAAAGGTGACACCTCTGCAGATTCGTTTCGAGATTCCAAACAGATGAGACAGATGTTTTCCTTCACGGATCTTGACGTCGTGCACAGTACTTATGTTGGAACGACATTCTCTCCAGAGCCCAAAAGGAAAAGATCGCAACGTGCATCTTCGCCGCCCCATCGATGTACACGGAAGTTCCAGTAGTGATTTTTTGCAAAACCACGAACTGGAGTGGATACTCCCAGTCCCACTACTTTGACAAGACCCTGGAAATTTCGAGATTTCTAGGCCTGTCGCAAAAAGTTGTTTAGTTGTAGCAGCACAAAAAACCAAGCCATGCACAAGAGCCAAACACACACATAAGAGAATACACTCCGACCATAAATCAAGTGTACAGCGTGCAGACACGCACAGCGGCCATAGCCGCCATAGCGGCCAGAGTGGTTTGCATTTCCGATAAGGGGTGCGATGCAACATGCGGTATGATTGACGTGTTCGCGGAAGTCTTGTTGTCACTGTGCATCGGCTCGAGCTGCTTCAGCCCATGGACAGCGGGCGTTGCAAAATTTCAGAGGAGCTTTGGCTTAGTGCTTGTCGCTTCTTCATCACATAATAACCCGGACCAATAATGACAAACAACAACAAAGATCACTAACAGCAACAAAGGTAACAATGCTAATGACAACGCTACTAATAGCACAAAGATCGCCAAACATGACAAAATCAGTGAGACCACCAATAACAGTAGTAGCAATAATTGCAATAGCAGCAATATAACTGCAATAACAAGCACAGGAGCGACAATGACAATAATAATAACATTAGTCACAACAATACAATATTAACACTGTTACCAATGACAGCAAGAACGGCAGTCATAACAATAATGACAGTTGTATCAGTTATAACATCACTAAAAAGAACAGAATGTCAATCACAACCAAAATATGACTAATAGCAGTTGCAACGAAATGACACTACTGATATCCAAAAACAAGAGCACCACGAGTCACAATAACAAAACTCAAGCTAGTCCCAAAAAGAACACCAAAAAGAGTACTCTCAATGATCACACTGATGCCAATAGCAGCGATAGCAAAGTCGCAGGATGAACGGCATCAGCTTCGCGGAGTTCGAAAGCTCCAGTTTCGACAACTTGTACAGCGCGATGCCCTGCCTCCTGTAGTGTTATTGGTACTATCGCTATCATTGTCTTGTTATTCTTTGAAATTGTTGTTGTTGTGTTCAAGTTTCGGAGCTGCGCTTGAGGCAATGGGTTTGCAAATGCCAAGCATCTGGACGAGGCATGGCTCGAGTTTGCGGAAGTGCACAGTTTTTGATTTTACTACTTTACGGCTTTAGCATGGGTACGATGAGATTGCAACATTCTGCCGTGTTCACTTCAGGTTGGCAAGCAGCTCGCGAGGGTAAAACCAGGCCGGAGACGGACATTATGGTCAGGCGTCTGGCGTTCCCAGCCTCCCCCCCCCCCACCCCCCCGCAAATTTATGGTCTGGTCCTGGTAGGGGCCGGGGGGGGTCGGGTGCGGAGAGGGGTCGGGGCCGTTGGAGCCGCAGCTGGAGGGACCGCCAAAGGTCACAGACAAGGCCAGGATGGCACCCAAGCCCTACGCAAGCCATGAACCCTATAACCTAGCGCAGTAGCACGTGTTCCCGTGTTTGTTAACCTGAACCTTGCTTTAAGCCCTACACCCAACCCTAAACCCCGCCTAAATGCAGCTCTAAGCCTAAAGCAGAACATCAACCGTCAACCCTAACAAGCCTACACCCCAAAGCCTCCCTAAGTCCTTGTCGACTCGAAGCCTTATACGTTTTAACCCTAAGCCTTAATTAAACCCAAAACTCAAAAGCTTAAGCTAAACCCACAACCACCCCACAGGGGTAAGAGGGACCCCACACCCCACCCCACCGCGGGGGGGGGGGTTGTGGCATCCTGGACCATAGACCATGGAGGGGGGAGGGGGGGCCGCGGAGAGCGTGACCATGTAAAGGGCAGAATCTGCCTTGTTGCACCACGTGCACAAGCTGTTTTGAGCTTCGTATGGACGGTCATCTGGGAGGTGACTGGGCTTCCAAAGCGCTGTCGGAAGCCACGGTGTCACGTGCTCGAAAGTTTCAGGGAATGATGGTGTTAAGACTGCCTTGTGTGTGTGTGTGCTCCGGCTCCTGGTGTATGTGTCTTCACGCTAAGGCCTCGGATTCAGCCTGTCCCTGCGCAAACTGAGCAGACCCGCGTGGTTCGACCTGCCTGTTGCCGAGCATCCGTAGGCCCAGGTTGCACGAGGCGGCTTGATTTTGATGGGTGCCATGCCATGCAGGAGGTAGAGGCGTGCATGTCTAAAACCATCCGATTTTGGCCTTGTTTCAGCTTGCATGACTTCTGACGGTTGACACAACTTCTTAGGCGAAAGAGCCGGCAAGACCAAATGGATCCTCACGTGCCCTATCAGCCAGTGCCCCGGCCGGCGTTGCACATTGCTCAGTAATCTTCCCGCTGCAAGCAGTCTGCTGCTGGTCGAGGTGGTGGTGTGGTTGTTTTGAACTTGTACTCGAGAAAAGCTGAATGCAGCCGGAGTGCTCAAATCCCTGCTGTTGCCAGCTTCCCCTGCCATCTGTGGCCGACATACACGATGACCAACCCCAAGGTCTTCTTCGTCAGCAGCTCAGTCGTGTCACCTGGAGCTTGCATGTGTGGTGTGTTCCGACACTGCCAGTGAATTGCATCTACCCTGAGTTCAGGACATGACCATCGGTGGCACAGCAGCCGGCCGCATCACCATGGAGCTGAAGGCAGACGTTGCCCCAAAGACTGCGGAGAATTTCCGCGCACTGTGCACTGGTGAGAAGGGCACGGGAAAGTCTGGTAAGGCACTTCATTTCAAGGGCAGTGCCTTCCACCGTGTGATCCCGGACTTCATGTGCCAGGGCGGTGACTTCACAGCTGGCAACGGAACCGGCGGCGAGTCCATCTACGGCAGCAAGTTTCAGGATGAGAACTTTACCCTTAAGCACACCGGCCCTGGTATCTTGTCCATGGCCAACGCCGGTCCCAACACCAACGGCTCGCAGTTCTTCTTGTGCACAGTGAAGACGCAGTGGTTGGACGGCAAGCACGTGGTCTTTGGCGCCGTGACTGACGGCATGGACGTGGTGAAGAAGATCGAGGCAGTCGGATCCCAGTCCGGAAAGACCTCCAAGCCCGTCGTCATCGCCGACTGCGGGCAGCTCTAATGGCATGATGGAGAGTCGGAGCCTGCGGGCAGGCGGTCGAGATTTTGATGGGGGTCTTCACTTCCTCTTTGACCGGATTCGTTCCTAGATGACCGTGCTAAAGTATGTGACCATGAGCAGATGACTCCTGGTCTGAGGGACTCTTGATGGCATCTCCTCGCAAAGGGGTGCAAAAAGCAGCCTTCCTTCTTGTTGCTATGCGCTTTGTCACCGGGTGAGCCGGCAAGCCAACAAAGTAAGCAACGATTGAAAAGTCGAAGCTCATCTAATAGGCATACGGCAGCAGCAGAATCAAGTGCGAAAGGCTTTTGGAGACCGGACTGCTTCTTCACGTCTGCAGCCAGAGTGCTCAAATCCCTACTGTTGCCAGCTTCCCCTGCCATCTGTGGCCGACATACACGATGACCAACCCCAAGGTCTTCTTCGTCAGCAGCTCAGTCGTGTTACCTGGAGCTTGCATGTGTGGTGTGTTCCGACGCTGCCAGTGATTTGCATCTACCCTGAGTTCAGGACATGACCATCGGTGGCACAGCAGCCGGCCGCATCACCATGGAGCTGAAGGCAGACGTTGCCCCAAAGACTGCGGAGAATTTCCGCGCACTGTGCACTGGTGAGAAGGGCACGGGAAAATCTGGTAAGGCACTTCATTTCAAGGGCAGTGCCTTCCACCGTGTGATCCCGGACTTCATGTGCCAGGGCGGTGACTTCACAGCTGGCAACGGAACCGGCGGCGAGTCCATCTACGGCAGCAAGTTTCCGGATGAGAACTTTACCCTTAAGCACACCGGCCCTGGTATCCTGTCCATGGCCAACGCCGGTCCCAACACCAACGGCTCGCAGTTCTTCTTGTGCACAGTGAAGACGCAGTGGCTGGACGGCAAGCACGTGGTCTTTGGCTCCGTGACTGACGGCATGGACGTGGTGAAGAAGATCGAGGCAGTCGGATCCCAGTCCGGAAAGACCTCCAAGCCCGTCGTCATCGCCGACTGCGGGCAGCTCTAATGGCATGATGGAGAGTCGGAGCCTGCGGGCAGGCGGTCGACGTTTTGGGCAGCTCAGTCGACGTACCTTGCTGCCTGGTCGACCAGATATATCTTGACGCTTGCGAAACTTTTGTATGAGGCAAGTATGAAGCATGGATTTGATCAAAGCTTGCTGTCAAAAGTCTCCCATCTTCTCACAAAGAAGCCTGCAGGTTCATGAATTGCATCACCTTCATGTCGTCTCCAGCGCTGACACGACTGAGCACCTGTGAGGCATACTGCGCAGACAGAGATAGTCAAGCCATGTTTCGAGTTTGTTGACTTCCGCAAGGCAGCAGCATTCGGGGCTCGAGCACTTTTGGGACGCAACCGGTACTACCGCCATGGCAAAGCCAGTTGTGTTTTTCGTGCCGCCCTTACGGTCAAATCAGATATCTCAGCTAGGGGAGCATCCTTGTATGTGTCTATGCAGTTTGAGGGTTCTAGGGCTGGCAAATGCAGTCACACGTCTGCATCGAATAAGCGCACTGCACAGCACGTTGTCAGGATATGTCCATCGGTGGCACAGCAGCCGGCCGCATCACCATGGAGCTGCGTGCAGACGTTGCCCCAAAGACTGCGGAGAATTTCCGCGCACTGTGCACTGGTGAGAAGGGCACGGGAAAGTCTGGAAAGCCGCTTCATTTCAAGGGCAGTGCCTTCCACCGTGTGATCCCGGACTTCATGTGCCAGGGCGGTGACTTCACAGCTGGCAACGGAACCGGCGGCGAGTCCATCTACGGCAGCAAGTTTGCGGATGAGAACTTTACCCTGAAGCACAGCGGCCCTGGTATCTTGTCCATGGCCAACGCCGGTCCCAACACCAACGGCTCGCAGTTCTTCTTGTGCACAGTGAAGACGCAGTGGTTGGACGGCAAGCACGTGGTCTTTGGCGCCGTGACTGACGGCATGGACGTCGTGAAGAAGATCGAGGCAGTCGGATCCCAATCCGGAAAGACCTCCAAGCCCGTCGTCATCGCCGACTGCGGACAGTTGGCATAGGAAGTTTTGTATACAGTTTTGGTCGCCTCGGCAAGGACCGAAGTTTTGTGACCGTGCAACCTAACATCCTCTTGCACACTCGACCAGAAAAGCGAGGGGCATGTTTTTCAGGAGTTGTAGTTGATCTAGATGGGCTGTGCTTCTGATGCAAGGCTCATCAGCAGCAGCAAGTGCCACTGAATGACATGGGCGTGGTGGCCTCGGTGGGCCTCGGTGTGCCCAGAGGGGAGGTACTGTAGCATCCGTAGCTCTGCCGTGCCTTCAGGTTATGCCCGGTAGCAGAGGGGTGGATCCTGCCGCCAATGTGCCAGTCTCAGTACGACCAGATATTCAGGATATCTATCAGTTCGTCGTACTTGATTTTTGAACCGGTCCTTGCTTGGCGGAGTCTCAGAGACTGTGCAGGCAAGCCAGCAGTTCTGAGTACATGAGCTGAGTGTCTGAAACACGCACCTCTGATCTCAGACTTTACTTGACAGAAACCGAGCGTACACCTTATAGGGTTCTTCACCTTATAGGGTTCTTACACCTGCATGGTTTAGCTCTGTATTGTGGTGCCACTGTCATGTTCGTCATGATGCTGTAGGGCTGGAGAGTATGAACCCCCACTCCCAGTGGCTCTGGCACCAGGCATGGCGACCGTCACAAGAAGCGCATGCACGTGCCCAGAATGCCCCGACGAAAGCAGTGGAGGCCGTCCGAGTCGGAAAAGTGTGGCCTTGCGGCTGTGACCATGGGGGTTGAGTTTTCATTGGCCCCTTGGGAACTCTTCAATCTTTCCTGGCGTCTGAGGCTCCCCGCGTGGTGCCGAACAGTAACCAGGCAAGCGCCGTTCGGAGATTCATAATTGCGAGGTTTCCGGAGCATCGCTGTCAGGGCGCCTTCGTTGGCTGGAAGTCAAACTGAGGAAGGGGTGACCCATGTGGTAGATGCAGAACCCGGATCGGAAAGAGTATTTCTTGGGACAGCGGCAGTCTCAACTCTGCATCTACAAAGCAACTGATGCTCAACAAGTGTGAGCCTGCATGTGGTTCGTTTGATGTACAGAGTCACGTCGTGTGGTGCCGTTGTGCCGTACTAGCAAGAAGGTCTGCCTGGCTGCAAACGCTGCAAAGTACAAGTCGGCAACTGGAACGTGCAGTGCAGCTGATGTGATGTGTTGGAACCTGAGCTGCATAGTATGAATATGTATGAATCAGCTGCACTGCTACAGACACTGTACTGGTGCACCAAAGACTATGCCAAACAGCACAAAACAGGCGAGCTCTGACAGCTGAGTAGCTTCAGAGTGCGATTTGCGGCTCACGGATCCCCAGGAACCCTGAGTTTTCTGGATGCTCGAAGAGATTCATGAGCATACATCAGATCCAGTGATTTACTCAGCACTCGGCAGCCAGAGCCCTCGACGCCTCAGCCTGGACCCACCCAGCAACCCCAGTCGTGCATGACAGCTGACAGCTATTGACATAGTCGGACAAGTTGGACATTCATGCATCGGCTTGCAACATTCTGGAAGTGCGCCCCGACAGGCGCAGAACAGTGGTTGACGTGTCCTGCTGTCCTGTAGACCAGAGCCAAGCCCGCAAAGAGGAATCGAATCTGAGCTGCGACCATGGGTGTGGGCCTTGACTTTTCGCTTTGAATGTGAAGGGTGCCTCAGCAGTGCCATCATAAAATCCCTGATGCCTTGAGAGATGTGACCGCAAGTGCCGAGGCAAGAACCAGCACAGCAAGGACATGCTCCACCTGCGGCCTGGGCCTTCTTTTGGTAGGTCCCGATTCTGTTGTCTCACCACGGACATGCAGGCCTACAGAGTGGGCGCAGGATGGAAGGGGTTTCAAGGCCGGCATGCCGCACGACCACAAGCTTCAGAAATTAGCGAGTGCACATGCGAGGCAACAAAATGGACTCCATTTTCAAAACTGCCTCTTAACTGTCGCAGCCTTACTGTGGACCAGCTTGTTGGACCAAGGCTTTCTGAAAAAACGACAGATGCCTGAGGCTGCTCTTTGTCCTTGCAGCCGTTCGACAAACCAGCTGGGACCTCTCTACTGAGACATCAACCTGGCTGCGGCAGAGCCTTTCACAACCAGGTCGCAACCCGGGACGGGTCGGTCTTTGAGATCACCTACATCCTGAAGTGACCCGATCGGTTGTGCTTCTTGATAAGTCCACGATGTTCGGTGCATGGTCCAGCTCCATCTTGCTCGAGTCAAACCTGGCAAAGGTACATCAAGCGATATGGCAAGCATCCGGTGCATGGTGGCAAGCTAGAAGTGAAAGAGCTCATACCACTGCCGGGGTCTTGGTACGCGAAAGTGTCCGGCACTCTTGTGGCAGTATCTGTTCCCTTCATGCCCCGCCCACCCTTCAATTTCTTATCACATCTCGAGTACCACACGATATTTCTCGAGAAGCGCACTGGTCGCAAATCTGCTGCCAACACGAATCGGCTCCCAGCACCCAGCCAGAACATTGTATCTGGAGTCTTACATTGGTCGCGCAGGTCCACTTTCCAGAATCGTCAGTAGCACCGTAACACCCTTGTCAAACCACTACGCCGTCGATTAACGCAAGTTCCATGCTAGCAGCACGAGAACCACTCTGGTTCTTCGGTTGTGTCTACTCCGAGTCTACTGCCAGCTGGGTTGAAGTTCTGGCCGCAACTCTATGAAGCTTTAAGGCTTGTCTTTCTAGCTCAGCTGCAATGGGATTTGAAAAGTTAATATCAGCCAGGCACTTTCACAAGAACGCACAGGGCAATCTCCATTGCCCGGTTACCTTCAAGGTGTGGGCCGCTTCTTTTTCCATGGATTCCAGGGTTGCCCATTGGATAGCACAGGTGTTGGGCAACAACACTCCGGTGTGCGCGAACGTCAAGCTCGGAGCAGAGTTATTGAACACCAGCTCTTTCGGGAAGAGCTCCTACTTGTGGGGCTCGAAAGCCCCCGACTCGGGGTGTTGTCCTTTTACTCCCTTAGGTCCGGGCATGTCTACTGCTTGGAAGCGGTGCTGGAGCTCAACAAGAAGAACAAGAACTGGCCGGGGCCATACGGTGCATGTCATTCCGTGCCACGATGCGTGATGTGACCATCAGCCAGAAGCGTCACAGGAAGGACCTGATGACTTCGCAGCCCTTCACGTGGGCGGACATCGCGCCGTCCCCGGCAGCGATTTGTGTAGAGGGCTGGTAGGAAATTCCTGCTATGACGCGCCAAAGCTCAGATAATGCTTCAAGATCCCGACAAGATTGAGGCTGCATGGTCGGAAGCTTGTGAAGTCTAAAGAAGGATGACAGCCTTCGCAGGGACGCGAAGTGTCCAAGTTCTACTTCATCGTGATGGGACAGCAGGCATGTGCCTTGCCGAGCCGAGAAGCAAGTCGGCAAGCCCAAGTTTCAGCAAAGCGCAGGATGAGGTGGTCCGTGAGATCACCAACCCTGAGAGCAAAGTGCTTCGGTCGAATATTCTGCTCCGCGGTCAAGAAGAGACCCGAACAATGTGTCAAGGCATCTTTGCAAACGGACGACAAGATCCGTCCAAATGCGGTCGCCAGCCTAGCACAATGGCACAATGGTATGACAAGTGATGTAATTTTTTGCGGCGCTGGCACGAAGAGACGGAGGCTGTCGCGCGGATCTTCGAGGAGAAGGAACGACTAGCCGAAAAGAAGGCGCAGGAGGTGCTGCCGCAATTCCCAGTGTAACCGAAACAAGTCCGAGCATCTCGGTGCTACCAGGAGGCCGCGAAGGAAGCAGCCGATCCGGAAGCAGCTGCTGCTGCCGGGACCTTATCACAGCAGCCTGGTGCCTCTCGCCCAACTTCTTGTGTACTCTGCCAGGCAAAAGCTGCAGCTGCCGAGGCTAAAGCTAAAGCGCAGGAGTTGGAGGAGGCCTTTGTGATCAACTTTTGTTGGAATTTCGGGTTCGAGTTCGGTGGTGATGAGAAGTAGCGGAGATGGCATTTTCATCCTGCTTGTGCCTGTGCCTGACTCGTTGATGATGCTCTGTCTGCATGATGCGTCCGTAGCCAAATGCATCGCAAACTTCGAATTCCAACCCGCGATTGCTGCAAGCTTTCCAACAGAGGTGTCGGCTATTGGGTTCAGGAGAGAGGGGCAAACAAAGCTAGGCGGAACTTGTGCAAGCCAGCGGCTAAGCCTAAGCTATCTGCCAGCGGTTGGGAGCCTTTCCATGTGTCAGATAAACAACTTGCTCCTGCCAAGAGGAAGCCCCAGCGACATGGGTATATATATATATATATGTATATTTATATACATATATATATATATACACATAGCGAAATGTTCGCATAATATATTATGGTAGTGTATAGTAAACTGTAAAATAGGATAGTAGGTGGGCGATGTTTTCAAGGAAGTGCAGCGAACGTTTGCTCTTCTGGTGGAGGTCGGCATCAGCATTCCAGCATCTTCCTGCAAAAGGAAACCCTGAGAGTTTCAACCTTAAGCCCGAACCCAAGACATCAAATCGTGAAGCCGGAATCCGAAACTCGCTGAGACATCGATGTATGACAGCCCTTTGGCTCGAAGAGCTCTGGATCTGTCTTCGCCTGCCAAGATGCTGGTCACACCAAGCCCGAAGAAACGACTGAACGACATGACCTGCGAGGACCAACTTGAAGCCTAAACCAAACCTGAAGCCCTAAGCCCTGACGCTTTCGAAACGCCTAACTCCGAGTTCAGACGTCCCCAGCCGCAGTCTTCAATCTCGAATCATCACTGCCTACAAGCTGAATCATGCTGAGGTGTCGCGTCTCCCCACCCGGAAAACGAACGTGGGGTTTAAAAGGAAGGGAGAAAGGATTCGCGCGGGCAAGGAAGGGAGGAAGCGAAGGAACCTGTGAAGCGTCCATAACCATCGCCGTTTCTTCACTGCGAACTAGCCGACAAGCCTGAGTTGCCGTGAGGACTTGAGATCAGAGTGCAGAAAGATGGGTCGCAAGGTTGCCGGCCTGAAGTGTGAACTTCTTGACCGGTTGAAGGAGCCTTGCAACAAGAACAGCAGAGGCTGGGAGTGGCGCCACGGATCCGAGACTTCGGGCGAAACATATCTGGCTCAGGGTAACTTGATGGGATTGAGAAAGCCCTGCCAGTGTAGCTAGCTCATAGTGCGGTAGTGTCGGTTTCAGCCACCATAAATTTCCATGTTGAGCATAGTGCTAGAAAAGAAATTCACTGGTCGCATGTGCTGGCCGTGGCCCACGGGGGCCAGGCCTAACGGTCCTGGCAGACAATTGTCATCATCCTTTGGGTGGGTTTTGGGGGCGGACTGGCGCAGTGTCAAAGGCATGTCTGCCTGTGCTGCCCGGTTGGGTCCAACGGGGAGCTTTGAAAGCACACAGAGCTTGGGAGGCAATGCAGTATATCTTCTGCACAAAAAGTAAGGCGAACATCGTCTGGTGTACAAGGGCGAGTACACGAAAGGCCCGCGCAAAGGAGAAGCCAGTGTCTGGAAAGTGTTCAAGACTGGCTCCGCGCCTGGGTTCGGTTCAGCAGACTCTTCAGCACAGGAGGGCCTCAGGTTTCGGGTTTCCGACAGTTGCAGATTTTAGCCTGACTCCCGATCTGCGCTTCGAGGGGCTGGAGGGTCTACTCAGGTCTTCGAGGCTCGGTTCTTCGACGAGGACATCAACGCCTCCAGGAAGGCCGCGTCCTTGATCAAGAAGTTCAACATCCGCAACTCGGAGAAGAACGACCAGCTGCCCATGGTGCACATGAACGAGCCGGAGGTCTGGGTGGAGGAAGGATCCGGCAAGAGAGGGCTGGTCGAGCCCTTCATCGAAGGCCAGTACCAAAAGTTCAACTCCAACACCGGCTGGGCTGATCCCAATCATCCGCTGATGCAGGCCTTGAGCCACTACTCCTGGCACGTCTCCGAGGGGGAATACCTGCTGTGTGACCTCCAGGGCTGCTCTGCGGGTGGACGTTATTTGCTCACCGACCCCGTGGTCTTGTCGATGAAGCGAGAGTTCGGCGGCACCGACGGCGGCGAAGCCGCGATGAAGAACTTCTTTGCTCATCACGTTTGCGGGAGGTGCGGTGCTGCCAAGATTTCGTGCTTTTAGGGTTGCAGGGATTATGCTGGAGGGTCTAGTTATGACGGGAAGCCTGTTGTGCAATCCTGAAGATGGATGAGAGTTCAGCAGTCGCAAAGCGTGCGAATACAGTGCTAGTCACTCGCATGTTTGATTCTGTCTTTCTCCGAAACCTCCACTTCCGTTCAGGTACTGCTGCTCGGCCTGGAGCAAACCTGCACCACCAGTAGTTCGCCAGCCAGCACGTGCTGGCACTTCTTTCTTCTTCCGCTGAGCGCACAGGCGCCATGGTTTTGACGCTTTGTGGTGCCATGTCAATGTGATCGCGGCGTGCCCCGGGACATGTTGGCCCGCAGTTGCTTTAGTCGTGAGATTTTGTAGCACCTTTCCGACGGGTGCGACCCCCAGAAGGCCAAGCGAACACGGGGAAGTGTTCGTGACGATGCGAGGAAAAGCAGTTGCTGATGCAATCTTTTCTCGATTCGAAGTGTGTTGTCCTTGAGTAACCTTTCGACTGACAGGGTTTAGGGTTCCGGGTGTAGGCTTGTTAGGGTTTAGGGTTCAGGGTTTAGTCCCTGTTATAGAGCCTGATATATTCAACGCGATGCCATGCTTTGGGGATTCAAACGCGGCCCGAGTTTCGCGCACTGCCCACAGGTTTGGCATCTTGGTTCGGGGTCATATGCCCTTCAGCTGCATGCGCGATACGGGTGCCTGTAATGGACGTCGTCCGGCCGTATTTCTTTCGACAGATAGGCATAGGCAGCTTCAAGGCTTGGACGAACTCCTGTGGACTTGCGGCTTCTTTCTCGGATCTGTGCAGGCTCGACAGAAACGGAAAACCAACGAGCGTGGTGGACTCAGATTTTTCATGTCATGCAATCCAGCTGTTGCTCTTGTTGTGATGTTGTTTCGGTTCAACAGCTGTCACGACTGTGCTGCAAACAGCAGCGCGAGCAGCAAAGCCGTGAATCCGCGGATATTAGCGAATGTGTCCATGGAGCCGTGGAGAAGATCCGCCCCAACATGTCTGGGGCAATTTCAAGGACCCTTGGGGGAGCTCCGATTCAGTTTCAGAAGAGGACAGCTCAGCAGTGCGGTACGTGTTGCAGGGGTACTACGACATCCGGAATCCGGGAGGGGAAGATCCTCGCCTGCCGTGGCTCTGCCGGACCATTGATTGGAGAGGCCAGTCGTAGCAGATGCTCCTCAGATCTCCTGAGAGCAAGAGCTGTGCGGACTTTGAGATGCGCAGGCAAGCGGGTGCTAGATCTGGGCTGCAACGCTGGTCAGATCACGTGGGCTGTCGCAGCAGAGGGTGCGAAGCTTGCCCTAGGTGTGCCTTGGATGCATCAACTCGTGAAGCGAACGTACACGTTCGCACGTGTGAGTTGATTGCATGCTGCTGCCCGAGGTCGACATCGATGCCTCACTGATTGGGGAAGCGAGGCATGCGACGTCGAAGAAGCGGGCGGCCGGGAGACAACCGAATCATGGAAGGCGGGAGCGTAGTTAGCGTAGTTCCAGAGCACTAAACAACTCTCCTCAGTTGTTTTATTCAAGCTTCCAGGGTGCGATTTCGCTGTCGAGATCTTCTTCGATTGAAATTGCGGCGCAAGTACGACGTTGTATTGCTGCTGAGCACTTCCAAGTGGGTGCACTTGCAGCAACATGGCAGCAGCATATGCTTGAATATGACTTCAGCAAGTGGCAAGGAGCCCTTGGAAAGCTTTCTGATGTCTCGCGGCAGGCATGGAGACGAGGGCCTTAAGCAACTCTTCCGGCGCTGCAAGCGATGGCTCTGTCCGGGAGGAGTCCTAGTCCTCGAGCCACAGCCATGGAAAGCCTACAAAAAGGCCCCTGAGAGAGCACCCAGAGAGCACATGTCCTTGTGATCAGATTGTCTTTCAACTTTGAGGTGGCTGACGCGCACGCGGACGTTGAGAAGACCTGGGGTGAGATTCAGCTGAAACCAAGCTGCTTCGTCGACTTTCTGACGGAGGTTCGCTTTCGACTTCCTCCCGCAGCTTACTTGATTTGTTCCTTTGGCTTGAGCAGGTCTTGGGATTTGACCGGGCCTACCGGTGGGCCTTCGTCGACCACACACAGGAGTCCTTCCAAAGGACGTTGTACTTCTTTTGGAAACTCGGCGGGTACTACATGTCAGGGCGTCGAAGCCTTTAGTGTGTCCTCGTTTTTTCTTTTTGCTTGTTTTTTTCGCTTTCCTTGTTCGCTATACTTTGTCAAAGAGACATGGCTCCGTATACAGACCAGCTTGCTTGAAATTCTGCTCAGGTGTTGTTGTGTCTGGCAAACTCGTTGATGTAGATTGAAAGAAGACTCGGTTGTGAACAGAAAGATGCTGAAACCAACTTTAAGGAAGCCGGAAAGATGTGCCACAGGCAGCCCCGGCCTCGCAACCTGAAGTTCCCATGAGCCGTGCGCTTCTGCGTTTTTGGGCTTTGCCCGAGGTGCGAGCAGGCGCGTGCGCAGGCGTAGGTGGAGGCCCGGCAGGCGCCTGGCAGCGTGCGCGGGAAGCAGCGTGACCAGATCTCAGCGGCTGCAGGCAAAAAAGGAAATGCTGCCTTAGTACCCTCACCCTCACCCATTCTTGTGCCGCGCAAGCCATGCTTAAATCGTTAGCTGCTGGCCGAGCTGCAGGGCGAGTAAGGGGGTATTGTCCTCTCTCTGTCTTGAGGCTACACATCCAATGAAGCCGCAGCTTCCTTCACCTCCACTGCTGCACCTCTAAAGCACCGGCCTCAGGTTCCGCTGACCGAAGCAAGTCAGCACAGCAACTGACTGAACCTGCTCTCGAACTGGACTTCGGCTTGCCGCCTCCTGCTGTGCCGTCTTGCAGTGTGCGTATTGGCCCTACTCAGGACTTATAGCACTCCACTGACCTTAAGTTCGATGCCCTGCTACCCTCATGTAGAACTGAGGCAGAGTCTGCAAATACGGCATGTCTCACTCCCCTTGTCTTTTGTGTCCGACCGAGGTCAAAGAATGAGCTGCGCAAGCTCACGGAAGAAGAAGAGTTACAGGACACGGGCGTGACACTGCTACCATCTGCTACCACGATCCGTCGCGAGTGTGTGCAGCGTGGCTCGACAGGACATCTACGATCAGGCAGCTTGCTTTGCCTTCTTGTTGTGAAGTCCTCCAGGGTGCTTCTGGTGCAGCAGCATGCAGGTTCGCAAGAAGAAGCAAAAGGGCTACGTGCTTCCGGCTGGTTCTGTACTTCGAGGGGCCAGAACGAGGGTCTCTGCTGAGATCTCAAACCTTCCAGGTCCGAATGGTCACCTCCCACGGTTGTCTCAACTTGGAGTTGCACTGCGACATTGTCCGCGGCTCAGCGGCCTCAAGCCCTGCTTCAAACGGGAGAGAACACTCGTCGAGAAAATCCCAACTGGCTCTTCACTGCAGAAACTGGAGCCGGGGGTAATGGTCGCAATTTCTACAGCCGGAGCTCGTAGGCGAGGTTTGGCAAGGGCACCTTTGTTGACGAGCTGTTGAACTACGCCGATACAGACAAAACACTTTGCAACGCTGGGGAGCGACCATCCGCCTGCCGCTGGGCCTTCTGCCTTTAGCCTTCTGTCTGCCAGCTCTGCAGGCCCCGCGGACCTCGGACAACTTCTTGCGCCTCTGCGAGAAGAGCTACTACGACAACACGGCGGGGTCCTGTGAAGTGAGCGGACGTGCTTCCGTACGTTCGCATGGCGTCTTGCGGTTACTTGTGTGCAGATTTTCCACCGACTGATCCGGAATTTCATGCTGCAGGCCAGAGCCACAGACGCTTGGGAGTTACAAGCATTGAAAATGTCGCACGCGAGTCCGGCCTTGTAACAGGGAGGCGATCCCACTGGCACCGGCCGCGGTGGTGAGAGTGCATTCGAAGGCCCTGCGGTGTCTCGGGGTTGGTTCACCCTGCCATGATCGTGGCTTGTCATGTGAGTGCCACGAGTGACATATCACTGCACCAGGTGCTTGCTACACAAACACCTGCGGGTAAACACGGGCACTGCTACTGGTACCATCGGGCTGACCCGAAACCCCGAAACGCAAGATGTTGACGCAGCCCAGCTTGAACAGCCTCGTTCAGGCAAAAGCCACACTGCTAAACTCAACCAATCCTGGATTCCTGTACGAAACAGCAGATTTCGTACGGGCACCTGCAGATTTGCGTTGCTGGGTTCTTTTTGAGGGTGTCTCCCTTTCTTGTCTTTTTGTGAAGACTCTCCTACTGCCTCGCAACCGCATGGACATCAGGGGTGGGGCACCCAAACTAAACGTGCAGGCAGAATTCGGCTCGAGTCGCTGTGTATAGCTGTGACAGCGGTGAGGCGGCAAGGGCTTCAAAGATGAGTTCGACTCTCGACTGGTTCACCAGGGACCCGGAGCTTCTCGGCAAAAGCGATAAGGGCAATCAGGTGTTGTGTCTGTTCGTTAGACCTTGGCGAGCTTCAGGTTCTCAGCATGGCCAACAACGGCAAGAATACGAACAGGATGCTGCCCCTCGGTTTTGCCTGGTGTCCGGACCGCATTGTGACCAGGAGTCAATTCTTCGTCTCGCTCAAGTCTTGCGAACACCTGAACAACAAGCATTCGGTGCCAGGATCTGAGTAACATGCCTACAGTAGCGGCGTTGGGCGTTGGCTCCCTACAGTAGCGACTGCCCGGCGCAGGTTTGGTCGAGTGGTGGGAGGTCTGAAGCTCTTGTCGGTGGCTCAACTCCTGGAAGGCTGTGCACGGTCCAACCGGATACTTGCTCTCAGGGAGGTCTTCAACAACTGGGAGACGGATCCAAAAGACAAGCCGGTGAAAGAGATCCAGCTGGTTCGGATGGAGGCTGGGCCTTCAAGCCTCTGATCATTCAAATTCCAACTCGATTGCAAAGGTCTTCAAGAATCCCTTCAAGGAAACCGTCGAGGAGATGAACAAGCCAAAAGTTGAAAAGGCCACGAAGTGGCAGAAGTGCTTCTTTTGCCAGCAGAGAGTCTGCAGCTTCGTCCACTGGAGGTGGTTGATCCGGTGGCCACCTGGTTCAGTCCCTGCCCCAAGTGCGCGAACATCGAAGACTTCTGCAGATCAACTTTGTTGTGACAAAATCGCTGTTTTTTGCTGGGAGTAGCACGCATGCAGATTCCAGCTCCGGGTGTTTGCACCTCCATGCCGTTTGCAGCTACGTGAACCAACCACCTTGTTTGCTTCGGGTTTTCATGGGTGGCAGCATGTTTCTAAGCCCGCTCTGGATCTTGCATCCAGGCAACCGGAAAGATCCGATGCAAGGGCACAAGAACCGCAACTCCACAGAGGTGCCGGTGCCGCTCCGGTCAAGGTGTGCGTCCTCGCAAGGGATCGATTGTCTGCGAGGTGGGCAAGTACCTTGAGGAGGAGCTCCTACCGGGCGAAAAAAGGAAGAAGGACCATGTGCCGCAGCTTCCTTTCGTGCTTGGGATGGGCATCTTCAGGAAATGTGCAGGCAGGACCCCACCCCCACTACTGTCCGGAGGCTTCAGAGACCAAGTGCCTTCGTAAGTCTGGCAGCCTCCCCTCGTGGCAGGAGAGTTTCAATGGCGGTAAAGCCTCGTAGAGTTGTACCTTTACTGGGGTACCCTGGGCTCTCCCAGGTGTCGTCTAGGCCCCGGCTTGCAGCATGCAGTGCACAGGAGATGCCATCGGAAGAGTTGGAATACGCGAACATTGCACAGAAGCCGTGTCCCCAAAGAAGCCATCCTGCAAAGGCAAACGACTTCCTGTCATGAAGCAATGCCTGCAGGTCCAAGAAGGCCCGCACGGACTTCGACTTCTCCATGTGGTGATGGGCGCCCTACAGGTCCTACGTTTCACCTTCTCAAGACGAGGTTGTGCTTTGTGGCAACGTCCAACGATCGCTGTATGCGGGAGCTTTGCCGGGCTTCTCCCATCATTCAGCCTTGAGGTTTGATGCTGGTCGGGGTTCCTTTTTCGGCTCCGGTGCGTCTTGCTTCGCTTGACGTTATCTTGGCATAACTCGCCGCCCGAGAAGCTGCGGCATTGCAGTGTGTATGCTGCAGCTGTGTTTTGGGCAAAGCCCCTCCCGTTGCAAACGCGCACAGACAGGTTTTTCACAAAGCGAGTCGCCAAGTCTGACATGTAAGTGAATTCTAGCCTGAACATCCCCAGATCGTTTCCCTGTAGACCGCAGTTTTAAGCCCCTCGTCCCTTCTTTCGCAAAGTGGGCACCATGGGCTCAACAACTTCCGCCGAGTCAAGAGGGCGCCACCCCCGGCTGCCATGACCACGGCAGACGGCCGCATGTATGTTTGGGCATTGTTGCGGATCTCAGGCAGTATTCAAAGATGAACAGGCAGACGCGGCTCATCTGCAGTTTGCAGCAATTTGACCTTATCAAGCTGAGCTCGTTTGAATACGCAGCCCAGGACTTCCAGTGTCATTTGGCAGCCTCTGGACGCAAAGCGCAGCATGTCACAATTGGAGGACACCGGACTTTCGGATTTTGACACTCTTGCTGATTACTCATTGTTGCCTGAAGCAGGGCAGCATGTCCCTGCACGCCCTGCTCTTGTGGGCCGCGGCCCCACTGTGTCGACTTCGTTAAAGACATGTTCAGATGCACAAGATCTTAAATGCTTTACATGGCTACATCTACCGTTGTGTACGGGCAGGTTGGCATGCCGGTCTGCCTGGCAGTGCAGGCATCTGCGAGTCTCATCATGGTCCTATGACAGTGACACATGGCCAGAACTTGATCCCACCACTACGACCAACCTGTGCAAGTGGCTTCAGCAACTGCCCGGATCTCGTGGTGGCTCGTTTTTAACGAATGTGGTGCTCTGTGATTGAGCTTTCATCTGCTCAGGGTCATTCTTGCTGCTGCTGTTGGTGGAGGCTCATCATATCTACCAAGAGAGGTGATAGCCTCAGTGACCGCAGCCGCAAACGACGCTCTAAGAGTCCCGAAACCAGTATCCGGCTGAAGCCGTTGGTTGGGTTCAGGCAGCTGCCTAGTCAAGAGGTATGCCTTGGCCTGCTTGGCGTCAACGACAGATGCCGTGTTCACAGTCTTCAGGAAAGCTTGGACAGCTGTGCGCGATCTGATTACCCCGCCGGAGCTGTCTGTATTGAGGCCTGCAGCATGTCCAGGTTCTCCAACATGCGGTATTAGGCTACTCGAAGCCTAGCTGTGCCTTCAATATCCATCAGGCAGCTCGGAATTCTGCGGATGCGACTACGTCATGTCATCTTAGGCAAGGGGTCATGTGCTCGCAGCTTCAAGTCTGCAGACTTCGGACAACAGCGCAAGCACTATTCGTACACATCCCCCTTCTTTTTGCAGGTATCTTGGAGGATGTCGACTTGTACATGGTGCTGCTCTCAGCTCCCCTTCGCCCTTGCCATGCCAGTGCATCACGCTCATGATTGCCGTGCTGTCACCCTAGGATTTCGCTTTTCCCTTCGTCGCACGCGCAGCCGGCATGGATTCTAGCACTGTGCCTTGCAATGGGGGGGAATGAGTGGCTCCGGCTCCGCCGCAGTCGCGTGCGACCGGGATGACCCGAGCAATCCGATGACCGAGCACTGGGCCGAAGCCTGGAGACAGGCGCCCCCCAAAGGGAAAGGAGGGGAGATTCGGATGCTAAAGGTGGCGAAAGGGGCCCGCGGGGCTTGAGGGGGCTGCCTGCAGGTTCCCATCCTGGGCCACCTCTTGGCGAAGATTGTGCTCCGGGTCAGGCCCGGATGTGGAGAGTTCGGCAGATTCTTTTCGGAGCCACTGCTCATGCCGTCGCTTTCCTTACAGGCTTTCAGCCTTTCAGGACAGGTACCAAACATGCGGCATTTTGCCACCGCACATAGGTGCTTGGAATCGCCACAACGACACCCTTCTCAGAGAGCTTGTGCTAGCACCATGTTTGCCAAATTGTCCCTGCTGCTGGCGTTAAGAGCGGCTTCAGCGCAGGAGCGACGTAGGGGCAGTTTGTTGCGGCAGCTGTTCCCGAAACCTGAGCGAAACCAGGAGGAGGAGAGCGTCTTTGTGTACTTCGGTTCCGGATGTCCGGCCTCCAGCTGCTCCGAGCAGAAAGAAAGAAGGAGACTTCTCTCTTCTGTTCAGGTTTTTGGCACGTCCAGCATGCCTTCATCGAAGCGGAAGCCAACCTTTTGGGCCGCACCCTGGCCAGTCGGTTTGCGAAGCCGAAGGAAAACCACACGTCTTGCGAAAGCACGTCTGCTGCTGGCAAAGACGAGGCAACGCCTCGACCTACACGTCACTCACAGGCAGGAGCGCTTTTGCTCTCTGAAGCTCCTCTTTTTGCACGTGTTCGCGAGCAGGCTATGCCGGTGGCAACAGCGTGAATGGAGATGGCAAAGCCTGCTACAATGACTACGCTCAGCTGGGCCACACAGAGGCCATGCTGTGCTCCAAAATCTCTTCGTGCCGGCTCCTGGAGAGTTGCGCGAGTCAGGTTGTTGGCCTTACTATACCCTTGAGTGACAAGTCTGCAAATCAGACGGTCAGACTTCAATCGTTGCTCCATGGTTTTCATACTAGAGCTTTTCCATTTTGCTACAGCTCGCCGTTCCTTGCTATGCCATGGTCCATGCTACACCAGGACATGAACAGCTTCAATCTAGCTTCCCCGATGTCCGTCTAAGTTGTCCAGAGTCTACACACTGACATGAGGTGCGCGTTGATTTCTTTTAACGCCTAAGCTGATGATGGGTCTTCTTGTGTTGCTGGCAGCGGGTGTGCATCCGAGTTAGTTCTCATGTAACCGCAACACATTGGCACAAACATAGCTGCACAGGACGATCAGGCTCAGGCGTTTAGATGAAGCCCAAGCCGAAACAGTTCCAGAGGTCCGGGGTGGAGAGCTGGAAATCCCGGCAACAGAATTTTGAATCAGAACTCACCTTTCTTGCAGCACCTTGCCTCCGGGGTACAAGCCTTATTCCTCAACTTCGCGCGGTTCCGTCAACCAAGATTCCGTCAACCGCGCTTCCTTCAACCATGTTCCCCGCTTCCCTCAACTCAGATCGTGCCGATTCTTTCAACCCGCATCGCCCGCTTCCCTCAACTCCCGAGTCTGTCAACCCCCATTGCCCGCTTCCATCAACTGCTCATTCCGTCAACTCCGCCCCCCGCCCGCTTCCGTCAACACTACACTGCAATCTAAGCATTTCGCCCGCTCTTTTGCCAGTCTCGCATTGACAAATAGGGCAGACGTAAGTTAGTTTAAACATTTGTAGGTTTTATTTAGTTTAACACAGGAAAGCAAACTTTCGCAGTCTTTAGTTTAAACACAGAAAAACACATTTTCGGAGTCGCGCGTAGGCACCAGTTAGTTTAGACATGGAAAACAAACCGTTTATAGGGTTCATTTACTTGAAACACAAAAAAACAAACCTTCGGAGTCCCGGGTAGGCGCAGGTTAGTTTAGACATGGAAAACAAACCTTTTGTGGCGTTTATTTAGTTTAAACACAGAAAAACACATTTTCGACGTCCCGGGTAGGCACCGGTTAAATTAAACATGGAAAACAAACCTTTTGTAGGGGTTATTTAGCTTGAACACAGAAAAACAAACTTTCGGAGTCCCGGGTAGGCGCAGGTTGGTTTAGGCATGGAAAACAAACCTTTTGTAGGGTTTATTCAGTTTAAACACAGAAAAACAAACTTTCGGAGTCCCGGGTAGGCGCAAGCTAGTTTAGACATTGAATTCAAACCTTGAATTGGGTTTATTTAGTTTAAACACAGAAAAACCAACTTTCGGAGTCCGGAGTCCCGGGTAGGCGCAAGTTAGTTTAGACATGGAAAACAAACCCTTTATAGGTTGTATTTAGTTTAAACACAGAAAACAAACTTTCGTAGTCTTGTTTAAAGACAGAAAAATCAAACTTTCCGAGTCCCGGGTAGGCACAATTCGTATGGCTTCTTTTTCTGTGTTGGAAATTTGTGTCGTTTTCGCTTTATATCATTTTGGTTGTCTTAGCTTTTTTACCTTTCTAAAGCGATTTCGTATGGCTTCTCCGTTGTACTTCATTTACCTTTTTCTTCGCTCTTGACCCCCCTGAAGCGAGTTCGTGTAGCCTCTTCGTTCGTGTTGGAAAAGACGTTTTTGTGTACTCTTCAGCTATACAGTATTTACTTTCTTTTCTTCGCTTTTAACCCCTTGAAGCGAGTTCGTGCAGCTCTCCTTCTTATTCTTGTAGGAAAGACAAGCTCCACTTTTCTTTTCTTTTTGCCTTCCTAAAGGGATTTCGTGTGGCTTCTTCCTTGACGCTGATGAAATGTTTGTGCTTAGTTTTCGGTTGTACCTCATTTATTTTCTTCTTCGCTCTTAACCCCCCTGCAGCGATTTCGGGTAGCCTCTTCGTTCTTCAACCCCCTGAAACGATTTCGTGCGGCTCGTCTTCTTCTTGTAGGAAAGACGAGCTTCACTTTTCCTCTACCTTTCTAAAGCAATTTCGTGTGGCTTCTTCCTTCATGTTGATGAAATGTTTTGCTTTAATTTTCGGTTGTACCTCATTTGCTTTTTTCTTCGCTCTTCACGCCCCTGGAGCGATTTGGTGTGGCCTCTTCGATCGTGTTGGAAAAGACGTTCGCTTCGGACTTCCTGAAACGATTTCGTGAGGCTCTTCTTCTTTTGTAAAAAGACAAGCGCCACTTCTTTGTTTAGCTTTGTACCTTTCTGAAGCGGTTTTGTGTGGCTTCTTCCTTCATATTGATGAAATGTTGTTTATTTACTTTGTTCTTCGCTTTTAGCCCACCTAAAGCGATTTTATGTGGCCTCTTCGTTTGTGTTGGCAAAGACGTTTTTGTGTAATGTTCTGCTATACAATGTCGAATCTTGTTCGTCGCTTCTGACCCCCGGAAGCGATTTCGTGTGGCTGAATTCTTCGTGTTGGAGATAACGTTTTCAATTAGTTTTTGGTTATGCAGTATTTACTTTCTTTTCTTTGCTTGTAACTCCGTGAAACGATTTCGTGCGGCTAATCCTTGTAGGAAGGACAACCTCCACCTTCCGAGTGTGTTCATCTTCCCTCGGAGTTTGTTTGGAGTGTGTTTTTCCTTGGACCAACAAACCGTTCCCCCCAGAGTTTGTTTTCTGTAGGAAACACAAAACCCTCCCCCCAGAGTTTGTTTTTGTAGGAAAAACAAATCCTCCTCTACCCCCGCGCCGCCCAAACCACTCCCCCTAGCATCACTGAAACAAACAAACTTCTCCCATAGGAGTTTGTTTTTCACCGCTGAAACAAACTCACCTGGTCAGGGTTTGTTTGTACCCGCTGAAACAAACTCGTCGAGACGGAGTTTCAAGTTGGTTTGTTTTCCTCGCCTCCCCAACCTGGCTCTTCGTGACCCAACCAAAAGATGATCCGCAAACGTTTGTTTTCTTCCGGCGAAACAAACCCAACCCCTCCTCCCAGTGTTTGTTTCTTTTTGCGGAAAAAACAAACTCGCCTGGACCCCCCCCCTTCGGAGTTTGTTCTTCCTAGTGAAAACGAACCCCTCCCCCCAGGGTTTGTTTTCTGTAGGAAACACAAAGCCCTCCCCCAAAGTTTGTTTTTTGTAGGAAAAACAAAGCCCTCACCCCAGAGTTTGTTTTCTGTAGGAAAAAACAAACTCCCCTGCACCCCGCCTTCGGAGTTTGTTTTCCTAGTGAAAACAAAATCCTCCCCGGGGCACAAGAATCCGCGTGTTTGTGGTTGAGTAAGTCCTCGTGGCTGGGGTAGCACGCGTGTCTGTAGTTGGAGCGACTCTTTCTGTATAGGTTGAACGAAGCAGTTGTTTGGGTTGAAGGAATCATTCCCGGGGACGTGGTTGAGTGAATCTGCGTTGTTTGGGTTGAAGGAATCATTCCCGAGGACGTGGTTGAGTGAATCTGCGTTCTGAGGTTGAAGGAATCAGGTTTTGAGGTTGAAGGCATCCGCGTTGGCGGGTTGACAGAATCCGCGGGCAGTGGTTGACGGAATAATCGGCGAAAAGTTGAAGGAATCCGCGCGCGACATTGCCTCCGGCAAGAAGTGCATCGAGACGGGCATTGACTGTGCAGCCCGGGCTGCTGGATCGGACCAGCAGTCTGCAAGGAGTATGGTGCCAGTCCGTCGAGAATCAGTCATTCCGATACCGTGACGACATGGGCCAGCAAATGGGCTTGCTGAAGCCATGCTCGAAATTTCACAGTTTAGCTTCAACACAGAGACAATAATGTGTGGAAAGAGTGTATTCAGAGTTTTGTCTTCCACCCGCTGATCAAGGACCTTGTCGTAACATGCTAAAGGGCGCTATGTCTATTGTAGATGTGTATGTACAAGTGAAAATGTAATGTTGCAGTTATGTAGATATGTAGTTATGTTATGTACGTGTAGATCCACAGTCGTCGTACAGAGTTGGGCGTTTTCCGTTTGCAGTGGGGCGAACGATCGTGCACATCATGCAGCTCCATTCAGAAGCTGCCTGTGAGCTGTGCTTTGCAACTTCTCATCTCAGGCAGGCTGCCCGATTTCGGAGCAGTCTTCTGGTCATTGTTCGTGGGGAAAGACCGCGTGGATGTGATGGACATAGGCCAGTCTCTTTGGGGCGAAAGACGGTGCAATCAGCAGCGCGTCGCAAGCTGACCAGGTGCGGATTACCGTGCTGCCATTGGCGTGCCGGGTGGCATCAGCTCCTCGCTGCTCCAGACGGTGAACGCCAGCCAGGCGAGCTCGGACCTCGGCTTGGGCTTGGGGGCCTTAGCAGAGCCCTGTTGGGTCAGAGTCAGTGCCACGAAGTCGTCAAAGGTCGGGCCCAGCGCGATGGCTGGTGGTTTGAAGTCAGGGCACGCCGCAGTGTTGCGATTTTGCACCACTCACCCGGAGAGTGAGAGAGCGAGAGCATTCGGCGGAGTCGTGATTTGTCTGCTTGTTTGGATAAGCTTCGAGGCAGGCAATGGCGACGATTATGACACCTTGGGCAAGGCAAGTGCTGTCTGTGCCGAGTCTATGCCATGCTGAGCTGTCTCTGTTTGCCAGTTCCGCCATGCAATTCCCACTAAATCAGCCGAGTGCTTGTTCCAGGCCCTCGTGTGGGTCTATGATACCGCCCTGTATCCGTTCTACCAGGCGAGGGCAGCCTTTCTACCGGCGAAGGGACTAACATTGTCCCGTCATGAGAGGCTGAAGTGTACCATCAGTTTCACGACGACTTCCTGCCTGGTGGCAACTACCCGCAGGAATACAACGAGCCATGTCCTTGGTCTTCTCCAAAGTCCACCGGCTTGGAAGAGCAATCAACCTTTGACTCTGAGTCTCGTCCACGCTCTCCGTGAAGATGGCCGCCTAACTTCGACCGGCTGCCCTCGAGACCAGGCTGGAGAGCCGAGAGATGCTCGAATGTGTCTTGCCCTGGCAGCCTCACAAACTGCAATGTTGTGCTCGCAGGCTTCAGCTGTGTCTGCTGCCCACCCGGTGGTGCTGTCCATCGTCTTGCTGTTCGCTGCCCCGTCCTCGCTCTAGTTCATTGCAAATGCTGCCCTGTACTGCACACATTCCAAGGTGTACAGGCACACACAATGACTGACGTGTATGTGGAGAGTTGGCTCTGCCTTGGGATAGCGGATAGCTTACCATAGGCATGCCCAACCGAGAACTTGTAGTTCGTGGCCAAAGCATGCCAGCGCCACTGAGTCGAACCAGCGGCGCAGCATGGGCCAGCGATTTTGTTTTCGTGCTTCCAAGCACCTAAAGGGGCTCCTGTTCAGGCTTGACAGTGTACAGTCTCAGCAACACGTCGAGCCGTTTTTAGCCCTTGTTGTTTGTGACAGTGGGCTTTGCGGGGAACCTGCAAGTCTACACCGGATGGCCGTACCGGGGAACACTTGACCCCGCCGATCGTCCGTTCAGAAGTCGTTCGCGACCCGTGGTGAAAATGCTGGGCGAGTGTCCGGGCCATTACCGGGAGTTCGCTTGTTTTCTGCAGCTGGCAGGTTCTGGGGCGTGGCTTTCTTCTTCGCCGGCCTGAACGCTTGCGACCTATAATTCATGTATTATGTATCGAAGGCAACGTGTAAGTCTGATCCTTCAGTGGCTGCTGAGCCTGCGTGTTCCATGGGCAGCGTGCTGCGTTCACGGGGCACAGCGACACAGTATTCAGGCAATGCTACCAAAATGAAAAGGGACCAGTTGTAGCTTTAGTTCGGCGGCGAAGAACCGGATCAAAGTTTAGGGTTCAGACCACCGAAGGAAAAAGGTTTAAAGTAGCTTTCTTTCGGCGACTTGGTGCCCCGACGGTTTTGGGTACCTGCTTACCTCCTAGGCTACGAAAGATTGCTGGACTGATGATCTTTGGTTGCCCCTGTGGTCATGCCTGTGCATGCCCCGGCAGAGGCCAAGGACTTCAGCTAAAGCATGCAAGTTCCGACAGTCTTTTGCTCCCGAATAACAAAAGTCCCTCACACGTCAAGACATGACGGACAAACTTGGAATTGGCTTCCTTGCTGGCACTGGCCTAGCCTTTCAATCTGTAAATCCATTCAACAATGTCGCCAAGAGCACACACGACGCGAGATTGCGGTTCAGCCTTTGTCACTGCAGAACAAGCGTCGAGCGATCAGGTGACAGTTTGCGGTCTGCTCCGACTTGCCTCGATGAGCCGCGATGTGGAAGACTCAGTTCTGCAGATTTTTGCTGTCATTTTCAGCCACCGCTGGATCTAAGGCTCGTTCCAGGGAGACGGAAACAAACAGGCCGGGAACAAAACTGCATCCTAATGTGTGCTAGACTTCTGTGAAAAACCTCAGCTAGCTGAAAGCTTGTCTTGCTGAAGCTCAGCATGATGATCAAGTTCTGCATGTCTGGGAGATGTGGGGTTTTGTGGCAGTTGCATAGAAAGAGGGACACTGCATGTCCAAGAAATCCTGTTGCCGAGGTTTACAGGCGAGTTCCGCCTATCTGGTTCGATTTACTTCATGTGGGCAGCGGGCTCAGTGCATGGCCTGGGCATCATGCGCTCCAGGAAGAGGATATACAATATCTCTTGAACTCAAAACCCGTAAAGCCCGGTTCAGATAAACCGATAAACCCTATACAGCCCTCTACTGCGCCCACGACACCCGCTTTGAGCAACAGCCTACAAAAAAGACAACTTACATACAACAACACCTACCGAAAAGCAGGCTCGAGCTGCCGAGACGGCCATGATGCCCAGCGTTGCAGGGCTCTGTGAGGACTTGGCTGGTGAAGCCATGCAACCCTGTCTGTTTGGGGCTCGGGGATGAAGGAGTTTTCAGGTTTAGAGGTTTCTGGGTTTTCAGGGTTTAGGTTTGGGTTGTCTGGTTGTAGGATTTGGGTTTTTTGGGATCTTCAGGGATTAAAGCTGAGGTGGCTCATGGCTTAGGCTTAGGGATGCTCTGGGCACATAGCATTTGGGGATTGATGGTTAAGTCCTACACTTGTTGAAGCCAACGCCGCGACTTGGCTCGACAGAGATGCTGAATCAATGCATTTTTTGCGAATGCAATAATCAATAGTCGACATGTCGACATGGCACATCCAAGTACCCGATCCTACATGTCGGTGAGCTGCCTCGTCGTAGTCGCAACAGCATGAATCAGAACATCGCATCAGCAGCACGCTAACTTGAGATCGGCACGGAGACGCATCTCTACGTCATGGCGTGTAGGTGCCATGGCAGCAGTTGAGGGGCACCAGGAACAGCTGCTTGATGAAGAGCATGGTGAAGAGAAGCTTGGCAGCACGACAGGTTTTTCGGCTTGGTAATGCTCAGTCTAGTGATGCTCAGTGCTGCACTGGCCCCGCTTTTCCGCATGAAGGGATTCTGAAGACGAGGAGGAGGAGCTGAAGGCCGATGCGCCAAAGCTTTGCGAGGGGCAAAGGGGCTAAAGGAGCCTTCAACTGCTCTCGCACTCTGCTCTCGAACTCAGGGATGTCCTCATGCCGATGCTTTGTTCGGCTCGGTGGCCGATCGGAGATCACTCGTCCAAGTACTTCAGCACTTCAGCAAGGAGACACGAGGATGTAGCACTGACGTGCTGTTGCGTGAAGTGAAAGCCCCATGGCAGGACAACCTGGCAGATGAAAGCCAAGAGCTCAGACCGGGTGGTCGGGGTCAGGGGGCTTTTAGCTTCCGCACGAGGGGGGTTCTTCTGCACACGAGGGGGCTTTCAAGTGACTCGCTAGAGCAAGGTGATGCGGTCGTTGCTGCCATCCGAATGGAGGCCTTTGGCAATTTCAAATTCTAGTTGCACCCACAGCATCCGACAGACTTGGAGATGTTGTTTCAGGTGAAGCAGGTGCCAGCATTCCGACGAATCCTCAACATCGCCTTGGACCTAACACCTGCCCATTGAAGCTCGTAACGCCTTGTAACACACGGCTCCGCTGTATCAAACCGAGCTGTGCATCCGAAACGAACGTGCCTCACACTTCCGAGGTCAGCACCTGTGGGCTTTGGCTTTTGTTCCAACCGCGTGAAGACTCTGCATCAGTGCTGCTGACGAAGCGGGGTCGTTCTTCCCTCAGGTCACGGAAACATGTGCCTTTCTTGTCTCAACGAGTCCGAGCTGAGGCTTCATCTGTTGGGGCCGTGGCCAGGAAGCGCAGCCAGGCGCGATGATGCGCTCCAAGTCGCGCTCTCTTGCGCCTCTTCCGGCCCTCCTTGAGGGGCAGTGCGAGCCTACCTCGGCAATGCGAAGCCCTTAGCCGCGAGTGCAAAGCTCTTGAGTGCTTGAGCTGTTTCTCTGATATTTCGTGCTTCTGCGAGGTCCTCTGCTTCCTTGCTCTGGCTTTCGCCCTCGCCTTGACATACACTGTCAGATGGTAAGCCTACAACCTCCTGTTTGCTGACTCCATGTGGCCAGCCGAGGTTCTTGTCATCATGTTTTGGATCTGGGTTCTCCGGGTTGAAGCATCGATGGTTTCGCGTGGACTGCTGCTGATCTTCAGTCTGGGGCCCTGCTTTTCGCCGAAGCCACTTCCATGGTCCTCCTGCACGAGTTGTTGAGAATGGCGGAGGCATGCTGGTGCTGGTTCTACTTCTCAGCTATGCCTGGGCACAGCGCCCTCGAAGGGACTGCGGAACGACCTTCCGGCAACATTTTGAAGTCAAGGACAGCCTCGCATGCAACAGTGCTTCGAGTGACGTCCGGAGACTAGCGGAGATGCCTGCAGCCAGTGGCTTCTGCTGCCCAGACACTGTAGGGCGCTGCTTTTAGCATGGGCAGGAGCTTTGCGTTGGCACCTACACTCGTGTTGACGAGGCCGGGTAGCATCCGTTAGCCGTTAGTAGTTGAGGCCTGCTGTCAGCTGTGAAACCTCGCAGGGGAGGAGAATGGGACAACTCTGTGCTCGTCGACGTCTTGGGCACTTGCAACTCTGCTTCAGCCGCTCGATGCACTTGTGCTCCGGATCCTTTTGTCATTTTGGTCTCTCAACCTTTTTGTTTGGGCACGGTTGATAGTGGGACGGGTGGCAAGCTCAGGCCGTCTCTACCCAAAGCCGGAGATATTGACAGAACGGCTCCCTCCTGGTGCTCCCGGGTGCAGTGGGGTGCAACCTGTTCCAGGCCGCCTTCACAGTCTTAGAAGCACAGCCGACAGCCTTCAGCTTGCTCCCGTGCAGAACTGCCGGCGGCGCTCGCTGGCGAGAGTCGACAGGTGGGGTTTTAAGAGCCTTCTCGATGCTTCTTTACTTTAACCAGCTGACGCAGCAAGGTGCAGAAAGAGAACATTGAGCAGGCTCCGTGGCCACGTGACAGCTTGGCTGATTCGTAGTTGGATTGCCCGAGGAAGGAGGTGTGAACAACGCCTTCTTAGCCCGCCTTGCAGCGGTGCTGGCGGTGCTTTCGCTCATTGGCGCGATCTATGTTTCTCGGCTTTTCTGCCCTGGCATGCATTTCTGCACCTTCGCCGTGGCCATCCCGAGGATTACACATCTTTCTTGGACAAAGTCCGCATAGATTCGCAGCTGTGCATCAAGAAGGCCCAGAAGAACAGATTTCCACTTCCCCGAGAGCCTAGTGCTAATGCCCCCTTAATTGGGGAAGTGAGGAATATACCTGAAATCATAGCATGAAGCCCACCTACAATCTAAGGTATATTCCTGAATTAAGGGGTCTTAGACTGCTGGGTTTGAGCTCTACCCCTGGCCGTTTTAGCAAGTTCTCAGGTGCACGGTTGCAGCTGGCACGTGGACAACTCCCGCCTCTTGGGCAAAGTCAAACGTGTGGCGGGTGCGTTTCCACCTGCTGACTACACCAAAGGCCACATGTCCTTTGTTGAAAAAGCTAGGTCTTCGCGGAGTTGGTGATGACTGTTGAGCTGCAGAATTCGAAGTCAACTTTCTGTTGAGAGGCGGTTGCAACAGCAACGGCGATTATTGTGATTATTTTTTGCGTCCCACGGACCATTGCAGCGACCTCAGCGGCAGGCCTTGCCTTGTCGTTATTGTCAGTTTGCTTGTGGATCGCAATGTTTGGCTGACTCAAAGGCACCGAGAAGGGAGAGGCCTTCACAAACGATGCCACAAGCGCTCTTCACGTACGACTGGAGTGCAAAGCT